TAATGTATCATGAATGTATATCAAAATGGATAGCACAGCGTATTGTAAATGAAATCCCACTTTCTTCCTTTAAAATATTATAAAAATTATCATAGCTTTAATTTAATCAGTTATATATTATAAAGAAAATGACAACAAAATTTTGCAGCTGGTAAATGTCCCAGGACTAGTTATAAAGGACTTTCAAACCTAAAATCACATTAGAATATGTGTCTGTAGGGATTGTGGAATGGAACAGTTCAAGGGAACACAGAATGAAATAAATTTGGGGGTAGCCTAGTATTTTGTAAAAATGAATATTTGGAAGTTTCAAATCACTGTTTTGTTTTTTTTTATTGTCTTGGATCTGAGGAAAAGTGATTTTTTTACATCAGGCATAAATGGTTACCATAACTTGTTTGTCATATAACTGTCAATTATTTAAACTTAAGAGGACAACTTTTAGGTTTTTAATGAAAAAGTGTAAGGAGAGAAATACACATATATTTTAAATTCCTTTAAGGGCATGCGGGTGGAGTTTTTCACCAAAATTAAGAGCTTGCTTGTGGACGAGGGGTAAGGAGGTGGGATGAGCATGTGCAGGAGGAGGGGGTGGTGTGGGGAGGGCCAGCAAATCTGTCCCTGCCGGGGAGGGGTGGGGAGAAAAGCTGTGGAAACTGGAGTCCGGTTCTGACCTGGGAGACTGGGGCTGCTCACCTCACAGAAACGCCAAGGGGAGATTGGAGGCAGTATTTGGGGCCTGCAAAGTGTCCTGTGTCGACTCAAGTCCCATTTCTTCACACAAGGCCCGGAATTTGGGCACAGGATTGGGGCTTCCCCTGCAGGAGGGCCAAGGCCACCGGGGGCGGGGCGGGGGGGAAGCCTCTTGTGACACGCCCCCCCACCCCCTACAGGCAACACCTGCTCAGGGCTCACTGGTATCTGGGGCTGCTGGTGTGGTTTGCATGTGAGCGTGGACATGCATTTAGAGAAGACTGTCCTAGGGGCCCTTTTCCCTGCTGCCTGGAGGAAACTGTCTTCTCACACCAATGTGGTTTACCTTCCTGGGATTTCAGCGCCCAGGCCATGCCCTCGCTCGCTCACACTCAGACACTTGCTAGTCTTGCTCCCTCAGAGCATCTTTGAAAATATTAAACAGAATCACAATGGCAGCTATGTTATTTTATTTTATTTTATTTTAATTGTGTTAGTTACCATACATTACATCATTAGTTTTTGATGTAGTGTTCCATGATTCATAGTTTGTGCATAACACCCAGTGCTCCATGCAGAACGTGCCCTCTTTAATACCCATC